CATCCTTAGTTTGACAAGGAGCCCTGGCGGTGATGTGTGTTAAGTGTTGGGCTGCTAACAAGGGTTCATGGTTCAAGCCCACCAACTGCTCTGTACGCAGGAGATGAGGCTATTACTGTTACAGTTTTGGAAACCCTTTATAGATTTGCTATGAGTCATTTGATGTCAATGTGTTATTTTAACCACACTGAGTGCGATAGTTAGGATTTTGTGTTGGTTGGGCTGGGCCAGAGTTCTCAGTGGTTTGACAGTTAAGACCTAGTAATTCCCTGTAGTGTAACTTAGCACAATGCAATCACTTCCATAATAGGATCTACTGTGAGCAGCCAATCAGTTGCAAGATGTAACACTGTTATTCAAATCACACCCCTGATCAGATCAACTGAAAGGAAGTTTTCTCAGGGGTGTGACCTCCTTCCAAAATAAGTATACACTGTGGAAAAATTTGTTTGCTTTTAGCTGAGTCCAGAACCTACAACTGGCTCCTCCCATAATCTCCAGTTCTTTGGACTTAAGCCTGAGGCTTGCTACCTGCCTGCAAGTTATCAGTATTCTCCCATCTTATATGTTGGTCTTGGATTCAGTAGTTTCTACAGCCACAAGACTGTTGTCCTCATGCAGATCATGGGTTCATCAGTTCCTGTAACTAACTGCGTCCGGAGAAACCTGCAGCTCAACATCTGACCCGTAAATTTGAGACTTACCCACTTCCATCACTGTGCGAGCCATTTTCTTGACGCAGATTTCTCTTTCTATACACATAGATTCCCATTTCACTGGTTTTGCGTCTCTTGAACACCCAGTGTAAGACACGAATCATAGTATCAGCTATGATACTTTCTTTTGTTATGTTTGTGATTTTAAAAACTTGGGACATCTATATGAATATGAATTCTCTATAAAATTATACTCTATTGAAACAACTTTGACTGCTCACATTTAATAGGCTTAAAATATGAAGATGATTTATGAACTTTGTGAAAACCTCAGTAAAATTTTGTAGTTTTTGATTCCAGTCTTTGAACATTTTCCTTAGATTAATCTCAAAAGTTTTCTCTTAAAATGTCACTTTTGGATTGTTTGTTATTATATATTATCCACCTGTCATTTGTGTACATGGTTAGGTTCCAAAGACTAGGTCAATATGTGAAATTAAGTTCTGTGAAAATTGATTAGTTAGACCACAAAATGGAGACCACTCTTATGTAATTGTCAAACTGAATCATTGCATAATTGCAAAACCACTCAGAATTATAGCCCAGCCAAGTTGACACATAGGTGCAACCATAAAATTTATTTTCGTTGCTACTTCGTAAGTGTAATTTTGCTACTGTTATGAATTGGGTGGCCCCTGTGGAAGGGGCGTTTGACCCCCCAAAGGGGTCACGACCCACAGGTTGAGAATCGCTAAACTAGAGGGAAGTTGTACATTTCATTGGGCTATACTATACCCTGACTGGCTCATCTCTTCCTGGTGACCCTTCTGTAAGAGGATGTCCACTTGTCTGCTGATGGTCTTTGGGTCTCTACTCCACCCTCCACCTCATTCACGTTGATGTGATTCTTTTGTTCTGTGTCTTTGATGCCTGATACCTGATCCCATCAACACCTCATGATCACACAGGCTGATGTGCTTCTTCCACGTGGGCTTTGTTGGCTGCTTGTTTTATCTTCAAGTCTTTAAGACCCCAGACGCCATATCTTTAGATAGCTGGGTACCATCAGCTTTCTTCACATTTGCTTATGCACCCATTTCGTCTTCAGTGATTGTGTCGGGAAGGTGAGCATCAGGGAATGCCAGGTTATTAGAACAAAGTGTTCTTATGTTGAGGGAGTACTTGAGGCCCAGAGTTCATCTGTTACCCTAATACTTAACATATAAATATATGTACATAGATCTATTTTCCTGTGCTTATATATAAATATGTTTACATATGTCCATGCCTGTATTTAGACATCTATAAATGCCCTTTGCCTTCTCTAGTTCTTTCTTCTATTTGCTTTTACTTTCCTCTTGCCCCACTATCATGTTCAGCCTTCATTCAGGTTTCAGTAATTCCTCTAGGGTACATTCCCTTGGATCAAGCTCTACCAGGCATCCTATGCCCTCCTTGCCATCTATTTTAGATCACTTGTCCCTGGGTTTGTTAACACCCACTTCTCCCATGTCCCCTCTGAACCATCATTCCCATTGTTTTCTCCTCCGGATTGTTTATCCCACCTATCATATCTTATCTAGATAAACATGCAGAGACAGTAATAAGCACAAAAACAAGACAGAGCAAAACAAAACAACAAGAACGAAAAACCACCACAAAAAAGAAAGAGCCTATAAATAGTTCCAGGTCTGTTTGTTTACCTTTAGGAGTGTTTTCCCATAGAGTCTGATGGGGTGCCACGCCCTGGCCCCTATTTTTGGTATTCCCTGGGGACTTCATTGCTTTGCCGCCCTTGCTGCTCTGTTCCACGCCCATAATTCCCGCATTGTGCCTCCAGTGTAGTGCAATGGTCAGTGAGGGATGTCTTGTCTTGTGGTGAGGCCAGCCCTATGGTCCTCTCTGTGCACTGGCTTCTCTGAGCAGGAATATTGTCCTCAGGGCTTGGTGGCTAGGATGTGTTCCACTCTCTGCCCCGCAATCTCTAATGGTTCCCTGCTTCGTGTTGATATGTTGCATTCCTGTCTTTGGCACCTGGTTGAAGACTGGTCCCTCTCTCCCTCTCCTGTGGAGCTATAAACAACACCCTCCCTTTCAGTGTAGGATTAGTGCCCTGTTCCCCTGCTACCAAAATTTTTTTTAAATTAAAAGATCATTTTATTGGGGGGTCTTACAGCCCTTATAACAATCCATACAACAATTGTATCAAGCATATTAGTACATATGTTGCCATCATTATTTTCTAAACATTTACTTTCTATTTGAGCACTTGGTATCAGCTCCTCTTTTTTCCCTCCCTCCTCCTCTTTCCCCCTTCATGACTCCTTGATAAATTGTTCTTGATTTTAGGGCCAAAACATTCAGTCTTTACTGTTAAGTGTGATGCTACCTGTAGGGCTTTTTCCTTCTTCTTATATAATCAACGAAGTTTCCTTCTTTTCCTAGTTTGCAGATAATTTTTATATGGAATAGATGAAATATGTTTCCAAGTGCATTTTCTGTATTTTTTGCGATGATAACGTTTTTCTGTTTTAGTCTTGGTAAATTACTTTGATTGCTTTTCTAAAATGTTAAACCAATCTTGCATTACTCAAATCCATTTATTCATAATGTATTATCTTTGTAATGTATTGGTGGGTTTGATTTGGTAAAGTTATTGCATCTATGTTCATGAGGGATTAGTTTATATTTTGCTTTTCTTGTAATGATTTTAATTTATTTTATTTATTTAATTTTATTTTTTTAATCATTTTATTAGGGGCTCATACAACTCTTATCACACTCCATACATCCATCAATTGTGTAAAGCACATTTGTACATTCTTTGCCCTCATTATTCCCAAAGCATCCACTCTCCACCCAGGCCCCTGGCATCAGCTCCTCATTTTTTCCTCCCTCCCCGTTCCCCTCTCCCTCACGAACCCTTGATAATTTATAAATTATTAATTTGTCATGTCTTGCCCTGTCCGACGTCTCCCTTCTCCCACTTTTTTGCTGTTCATCCCCCTGGGAGGAGGTCACATGTAGATCTTTATAATCGGTTCCCCCTTTCCATCCCACCATCCCTCTACCCTCCCAGTATCGCCACTCACCACTGGTCTTGAAGGAATCATCCGCCCTTGATTCCCTATCTGTACCAGTTTACATCCTCTGGTCTAGCCAGATTTGTAAGGTAGAATTGGGTTCATGATAGTGGTGGGGGAGGAAGCATTTAGGAACTAGAGGAAAGTTGTGTGTTTCATCGTTGCTACATTGCACCCTGTCTGGCTCATCTCCTCCCCGAGACTGTTCTGTGGCCTACAAATGGGCTTTGAGTCTCCACTCCGTACTCCCCACCTCATTCACAATGATAGGATTTTTTGTTCTGATGATGCCTGATACCTGATCCCTTCGACACCTTGTGATCGCACAGGCTGGTGTGCTTCTTCCATGTGGACTTTGTTGCTTCTGAGCTAGATGGCCACTTGTTTACCTTCAAGCCTTTAAGACCCCAGACAGTATACTTTTTGATAGCCGGCACCATCAGCTTTCTTCGCCACATTTGCTTATGCACTGTACATTGCTTTTTTTAATGTACTGCTTTAACAGTGTCCCACAAATTTTTATGTTTTCACTTAATTTAAATCCTCTCAATTTCTTCAGTTCACAAATTACATGTGTATTAGTTCTTTTATATGTTAGAATTTTGTTTGCCATTATTTCTATTTTCTATTGTGGTAATTTTTACATGTGCTATTTGCACTTGAAAATTACATATATTCTGCCATTGTGTGGAGTGTTCTACCATGTCAATTAGGACTAATTGGTTGATAATTATGTTAAAAGTTTTTATTTTGATGCAATACTTAATGATTTTCTGTTTATTTTATGAGTTAAAAGGGGGTTTTAGGGTCTCAAGAAAGATTGGAGATAAGTGCATATGTTTTAATTTTTTAAAGTCTTTGATATTTTATCTCTGATTTTTTTTTTTTAAGTAACCCAGTCTTTTGGACAGTTGTTACACTAAACTAACTCTAAGACAAGCTTGATCTGTGGTATTAAGAATTAGAATTAGATGGAAGGAAATTATTTGTCTTTTGGGGCACATTTGTTAGAATATAAGTTTTAAGTGGGAAAATGAAACCTATTTTACAAGCAAAAAATAAAGGGATATCGAAGTGATTTTCTGCTTCTGAAAGACATTTTGAAGTTTTCTTTATTGCTGTTGTAAAATTGACACTGTAAACAAAAGGTATTATGTGCTCTATTCACTTTACATTTTGTGCTTGCTTTATTTTTGCTCAGATATTTAAAAAATGCTAGTAATTTTTTCAGTTTCATCTCACTCATGCTTTCTTTTTCCAGTTGACCTCATAATTTTCAGCCCCACTTGAAGTGAATTATCTGAGCTGAAGGGACGAAGATTATTGCCGGCAAAGTGAATTAATGGGCTCCTTTCCCTCGTTGCATTTCTCAAGAGCTATTTGGACTTATTTTTAAATCTTTATGCTAGACATCTGGTCTAACAAAGGAGACATAAACTTCTAAGTGGAATGAGGACTTTTTAGATGTATGGGCACCTTGTAAATAAAGAATACCTTTTTAAGGAATAAAATAAATAAAATAAATAAACCCTGCACCCATCTTCTCACAATGCAGTGTGAAAGCTAGGAAGCTGATGTTAGTATAAATACTGTTTACTGGACTTCAAGGCTGTTCGGCTTTTACATACATTCGTGGCATGTGCATGTGGGTGTGTGTACACAATCCTATATAATTTGGTCAGATACATAGATTTGATTGAATGTAACCAATACTAGTGTGAGGTACAGAAAAATTCCATGATTACAAAGGAATTCCCTTATATCTACATTTGTAGTTTCCCTCTTATCCTTATTAATATCCCTTTAAAACCACTGATCTTTTCCCCTCTCTAATATTATCAAGGAGTCATGGTGGCATATAGGTTAAGTGCTAGACTGCTAAGGAAAAAAATCAGACACTATAGCAGAGAGATGTGGCTGTCTGATTCTGTGAAGATTACAGACTTGGAAAACTTTTGGGGCAGTTTTACTCTGTTCTATAGGGTTGCTTTGAGTTGAGATTGACCAGTTTGAATTTATAGTGTTGCTATTTTGATAATATAAATGGAATCCTAGTAAATAGTTATTTTCTTTTTATTTGATTTACCCCCACTTCCACTTAGTGTAATACCTTTGAGATCCATCTGTATTCTTGCATATATCATTAATAGCTCTCTGTTTCTTGCTGAGTAGTATTCCATTGTATGCTACACTACCATTTACATTGACCATCCCCCCCCCAATTATTTTTTTGGGGGGTCGTACAACTCTTATCACAATCCATACATCCACCCATTGTGTCAAGCACATTTGTACATTTGTTGGCATCATAATTCTCAAAACATTTGCTTTCCACCTGAGCCCTTGGTATCAGCTACTCATTTAACCCCCCTCCCTCCCACCCCTCTCATGAACTATTGATAATTTATGCATCATTATTATTTTTTCATGTATTACACTGACTGATATCTCCTTTCTCCCACTTTTCTGTTGTCCACCCCGCAGGGAGGGGGTTTATATGTAGTTCATTTGCAAGTATCTTGTCCAGATCTGTTTTTGTGTCTTTTCATTCTCTTAAAATCATCTTTTGCAGAGCTAGGGTATTTTGCGGAAGTCTAATTGAGTCAGATGTTTCCTTTTATTAACTTTGCTCTCGATGTTACATCTAAGAACTCTGCTTAGCTCTAGGTCTTGAACACTTTTGCTTATGTTTTCTCATAAGTTTTTTATTTAAATCCATAACCCATTTTTGTATGTGATGTGAGATTTAAGTCGAGATTCTTTGTTTTTTGTTTTCAGTCTTTGGATGTCCAGTTGTCCCAGCACAATTTGTTATAAGGGTCTATGCTCTGTCCACAGAACTTTTTGTCATCATTGTTAAGATACAGAGTGAGTTTTTTCCTGTTTCCTGTTCTGTTTCTGCCAATACCACTCTGCCTTCATTGCTGTAGTTACAATAAACCTTGAGGGCAGTGGTGATTGAAGGAGGAGGCCCAGGCTTAAACTGGTCAGCACACCTCAAGCATGGCCCCACTTGTGTGTCAGTGGAGGTTTGTGTGTTGCTTTGATGCTGCATAGATTTCAGTGGAGCTGCAAGGTCAAGAGGGAGTCGGAAGAAAGGCTTGATGATCTGTTTTAGAAATCCAATCAGTAAAAGCCCTGTAGGTAACACACATCTGATCTGTAACCTATTATGAAGTTGTACAGAACCAGGGAACATTTTGTTCCATTCTGAATGCGGTAGCCATGTATTCTGGGCCAACACAACAGTTAGCCCACTGTTACAATACTGAGTAGATTGAGACCTTCACTTTATTTTTTTGGTCACAGGTTTTTTGTCTTTCTATATAGAATTTTTAAGAAGTTTATTTATAGCTATAAAAAGTCTTGCTGAGATTTTGATAGGAATGATATTAAGCCCAGAGATCAATTTGGGAGATTAGGCATTTTTACTCTCAAAGTATTCCAATTTATGAACACAGGTCTCTTTATTTATTGATATCTACAACATTTTATAATTTTTAACATTTGGTAGTGTTCATATCCTGTACATGTGTTGTTAGATTTATAAGGTGAGGGTTTTTTCCCCTCCACAATCACACATGGTGTTTGTATTTTAATTGCAATATGTGTGTCGTTATATAGAGAGAATATAGAGATGATTAATTATTGAACATTAATTTTGCTTCCTGTGACTTTGCTGAGTTCTAGGAGAGTGCCCCTTCCTACCTGCTTTTCCAATTTGTATGCCTGTTATATTTTTTATCTTACCTGATAGCTTTGGCTAGAACATACTTATGTTTAAACAACTGAATTTTTATTCTGGTAAGCCAGTTTTGGGAATACTAGTGTTAGTTTCTTGCCCGTAATTCCTTAGGACTTGGAATTTTGGCTTCTCTAGGATTTCATAAATTTTGGTTAGATCAATATTGATTGTGATCTTAGGTTTTTGCCCCTGCTAAAGATGGGACACAGTATATTCTAATTATTCTGTATATTTTTCCCTTTACTCTGAACTGCTTGAGGGAAATACTTCTGAGGATGCAGGGTTTGGTACATAATAAATATCTAATAATCTAATAAAATATCACAAATATTAGATATTTACTAATATTACTCAACCATTAAATAGTAATGATATCAATAATTTATTAATATTAACTAATGTTGCTAAATAAAGTATCTAATATTACTAATGTTAAAGTTAGTTGAGAAAATATGTAAATGAATAAATGAAGCCAACATGTGATCTCTCATGGGAGAAGTCTTGGGAAAATGTTTCCTGACAAGATACACTTTAACTCAAGTTAGAATGACAAATATAGGGTGTGTTTTATTTTATTTATAATCATTTTATTGGAAGCTCGTACAACTCTTATCACAAGCCATACATACATTCCTTGTGTCAAACACATTTGTACATTTGTTGCTATCATCATTCTCAAAACATTTGCTTTCTATTTGAGCCCTTAGTATCAGCTCTTCATTTTTACTCCCCCCTCCCCGCTCTCCTCTCCCCCATGAACCTTTGATAATTTATAAATTATTATTATTTTGCCATGTCTTACACTGTCTGACATCTCCCTTCACCCACTTTTCTGTTGTCCGTCCCCCAGGAAGGAGGTTATATGTAGATTCTTTTAATCAGTCCCTCTTCCCACCCCACCCCCTCCATCCAACCTCCTGGTATCACCACTCTCATCACTGGTCCTGAAGGGATCATCTGATGTGGACTCTCTGTGTTTCCAATTCCTATCTGTACCAATATACATCCTATGGTCTAGCCA